AAAGTTATGTCTTTGGTTACTGACTTTTTTTCACTGATAATTTTTGACAATCTCTAAAAGCCAAAAGAGATGATGATATGTTTATGATGTTAATGTCTGTAAGTACAGAGCACTTACATACATCAAGATTTCTATTTTGTATATTGTACTATCTGTATAGATGTTTTTCAGTGGATCTTCTAAATCACTTTCACATTGACATGGCTGGGATTTTGCAGATTTAGGGAAGTTAAACAAGTCATTCAATGTCACACAGATAGTAAATGGCAGGGCTGAATAGTGAACTTGGGAATCTAAGTCCGAAGTCTGGGAGTGCAAAAGCATCTTTCTACATCTGCTTCTTTAGATTAACTTGGTAACGTGGATAATGGCATCATACTTCAATGAGCCTAAATAAAAAAAAAAATCCAATTCCTCATGGTTTTAATGCTTGTGTTATTCTCCACTTCTTTGCTTATAGGATCATTTAACTTCATTGGCCACCCATAGAACTTGTCAAGTTATCTTGAATATTTGGTTTCTATCATGCCTGGGGGTTGCAGACATGCAATGGTGTATTTTTGTCATCTACAGCTGTTTTAAGGAAGAATTGAATACTAGGGCATTGACATTCATCCAGGCAAGCCGAGTAGATCACACATAATTTGCAGGTCTGTGGTGGATTCTGGTGTCTACATATGCTAAAGAGAGCCCCTGAATTGTGGAAGGCTGAACTTCATCAGTGCTGGTGTTGGTGGCACTAGACCTAGTTCCTGTCATTCTTACCTTGGGCAGGTTCGGTGTTCTATTTCCTGTCACAAAATTGTGAGAAAAAATACATATAGTTTTAAACCAATTATCGCAGTAGTAATTCTGACATTTTCCCAATTGGAATGAAGAACTGACTCCAAGGGAGAAGCCAATTTGAGACAGGACGGGTAAAGGAGAGGAGCAGAGAAAGTCATTTCTGCAATTTAAGGGTTCAGAATAGGCAAACAGAATAGTTCTGTACTCTAATGAAAACCAGCTGAGTGTGTAAACTAGAACGAGGCTTAAGATAAGTACAGTTAAAATTAATATAATTTAACACAAAGAGAAGGATGATAGGTACAATAATATCTTATGAGCAAACAGAAACAGAACATGCTATTTGAAAGGTAATTAAAAACATAAAAAAACCCCACAAAACCCCCCATAGAAACTTCAAGAAAAGGACTCCAGGTAGATTGTCCTGAATTATAGCAATGAGTAAAATGTGGTAGGTGCGTTTAGTAACCTGTAATACAATATATTAAAAGATATGAGCATCAACAGAAATTAAATATTCTGGTCTTCCAACACAACACAATCATTAAACTCAAATGTCATTTTCTAGGACTAATTTCTGTTAACAAGAAAATGAAAGATTTCCTGGACAGAAACTCAGCAAAAACAGTCTGCCTTTTGGAAAATTATGCACGACTTCAAATTGCAACAGACAACCTAGAAAGGCAAGCAATTTCGATCAGCTTCTCAAATCGAGTAGAAGCATCTTGAGTTTCAGGCCCACAGTTGACCAGAAGTCCAGATATGCTTTGTTCTTGGAATTCCAGTGGATTAATATCTCAGGAATTTTTTTTAAAGATCATTTATTTATTTGAAAGGTTGGTTTACAGAGACAGGGAGAAACAGAGAAAGAGAGAGATCATCCATCTGTGGGTTCATTCCCCAAATGGTAACAAAGATAGGGGATGGTCTAGGCTAAACCCAGGAACTAGGAACTCCATCTGGGTCTCCCCTGTAGGTGGCAGGGCCCAAGCGTTTGGGCCATCTGCTACTGCTTTCCCAGGCACAATAGCAGGAAGCTGCTTGGGGAGTGGAGCAACCGAGACTGGAATTGGTGCTCATAAAGGATGCCAGCATTGTAGGTGATGGCTTACCCTGCTGTGTCACAACACAGGCCCATCTTAGATGATTTTTGAAAAATAGTAGCTGAGTGGAAAGAAGTGGTCATCAAAGAAGGAGGTACTTTTCTCTGAAGGGAGGGAAGAACTTCCAATTTGCTTATGGCCTTGTCTAAATACTGATGGAATTTGGGATTCAAAAGGCTTCCATAGTCTAGGCCAATCATGTCAAGAGCCTCAGGTGATCCCTCATGTCCTACATAAGAGTGGTAATTGTTAAATTAACCAGAGTCACTGTGCACTAACTTCCCATGCAGGACCTCAGTCCTCAAAGAGTTGTATTATAATTATGTCTAAGTGTTTGCAAAAGATATATCATTTTTTGGTGCTTCCTTAAAGTTAATTAAGTTTCTAAAAAAAATAGGAAATGAAATTAACTTCTAGATGCAATGACTTTGAACTACCCTTGTCTCTACTGTTGAGGAACAGTTTTTTTTTTCTTTTGGTGCAAATTGTTGAACTCTTTACTTAGTATGGAGTTGGTCTTCTTTGTTTAAAGTTAATTGAAAATGGATCTTAGTGGAGAATGGGACTCGGAATGGGGGTGGGGTGGGAGTGTGGGTGGGAGGGCGAGTATGGTGGGAAGAATTACTATATTCCTCAAGTTGTACTTAGGAAATTCATGAAGTTTGTATTCCTTAAATAAAAGGTTTCTTTGGGAAAGTAGCTGCAAATAATTTTGCCTATTATCAGAAGGAAATTTTCTAGGGAAATTTACTGTTTTGATCCTAGTGTGATTCTTTGGCCAACATTTTCTTCACTTGTAAATGAGTTTACAATCAAAGTCATACATTTAAAAATAGTTTTTGATGAAGAAAACTTTTTCTGTTTTAAAAATATTTATTTATTTGAGAGGGATAGTGAGAGGGAGGAGAGAGAGAGAGAACTTCCATCTGCTGATTCATTCCCCAAATGCCTGCAACAGAGAGGACTGGGCTAGGTTGAAGCCAGAAACTGGGAAATCAATAGAGATCTTCCATATGGGTGGTAGGGACCTAACCACTCCAGCCATCAATCTGTTCTCTCCCAGAGTGCACCTTAGCAAGAGGCTGGAATTGAGGGTGGAACTGGGACTTGAATCTATGCCCTCTGACATGAGACATTGGCACCCCAACCTGGCATCTTAAGTGCTAGACCAAATGCCTGCCCCTGCTTTCTTGTTAAGTAATTAACTAAAGATTGTACTATAAGTGGGATTTGTATGTTCTAGAAAGGTTGGCTAAAATAAGAAGCTAAATCTCTATTTATATTTGTTTTAATTCTGAATAGATTCAAGGTGTAAGAACTGCATTTGATGATATGAAAGAATTATGATAATAACTCAAGGAATCTATCATTCAAAGCGGACTAGGACAATGTAGGTGCAACATATTTTGCTGAAACACAGTTTAAACATGTACAAGGTCACCTGGGTGATTCAACACACATATCTCAAAAGTCCATCAAAATGAAATGATTAAAAAACACATAAACTTATGAGAGAAAAACAGGAAAGGAGAAGATAGTAGACAATGAATTTTTGTGATATGGAGAATGAAGACTGGATATGACTTAGGGAAGACAGCAAAGGCATGGATTAATCATTTGCAGATGAAGATTCTAAACAAAAGAGACTAAGTAAAGAATGTGTGGATTATTTGGTATGTAAGTAGTTATAAATGTTGTCTTCATGAAATTTTATTTTCCACATATTAACATTCCCTTCTTTCATCACTTTAAGATCCTTGTCATGAATCATATGTTATGTGGTATTAATATTGCTGCTTTCAAGAAAAATAGTGTGTGATGTATGTATATCGTAAAATGTTAAAAATTATTAAATTAGAAAGAATACATATTTTTTAAAGGGAAAAACACTCAGGATCATTAGCCAGCAAATAAGAATCACAATGAGGGATCATCTCACTGCAATTAAAATGGCAATTTTCCAAGTCAAAAAATAACAAATATTGGTGAGGATGTGGACAAAAGTGAACCGTGATAGGCTGTTGATAGGAATCCAGATCAGTATAGCCATTATGGAAAACAGTATGGCTATTCCTCAAAAAACTAAAAATAGAGTCAGCATGTGACCAAACTCTCTCCCACCTCTGGGAACATATCTGAAGGAAATGAAGTCAGCATATGAAAGAGATACCTGTACTGCCATGTTTATTGCAGGCAAATTCACAGTAGCAACGATATGGAATTAACCTAGTTATACATCAAAGGATGACTGGGCAAAGGTAATGTGGTATATATACATGATGGAATATTACTCAGCCTTAAAAAGAAGTGAAATCCTGACGTTTGCAACAAAATGGATGGATCGTTATGCTAAGTGAAGTAAGAAGGACAAATTCCACATTTTCTTTTGTATGTGGAGATGAACACACATTCAAACAGTATAAAAACATGTGAATGCCACATTACTTAATATATAGACATTTATAAATGTTGTACTCACTGAATTATACCCTTTACATCATGATATGCATTTTCCTCTTCATTTTATTATTTGTTATGAATCACATATTATATGATTTTAATGTATCCATTTCTGCTTTCAAAAACAATGGTATGTATGTGTGTGTATATATATATGATATTTATGTATGAGGTATTTATGACAAATGTTAAAAAATTTGTTAAAACTAAAAAGTAAGTAAATTTTTTCCAGAAGGGAGGCACCAGCCACTTTGGGAGACATGAAAGACTCATGGGAATGGACACGATGAATTTGCATGTGGAAGAAATTAAGGTCCCTGGATCTCCTTCCCAAGACCCAGATGAATAACTGATTCTTGCTCCCATCCCTACTCCCCCACACTCCACTAGGTCAATCCACAATCTCTCTTCACGACATGCTATTCAACCTCTAAGAAAGAAAGCGCTCGGTTTCAGATTCTTTAGAAGGAGCTGGCCAGGGAGCAGAGGATGATGGGTTGGATGGGTATTTGCATATTGAAAGGTGACTGTCTGCTCTTCCAGAACGCAGGGAACCTGGAGGACACCGTTTCCCACTCCCTATCCTCAGGTAGGAGCCTGAAGAGCTTTTCTCCAGGAAAACAGAATCATCCTAAATGAAAAAGAACAATCTTAAATGTTGACTTGGTGGGATCTCCCACAAAGAACGTTGCTTCTCAATCATCCCACAATAAGAACTAATATTTAAAAAGTGGCAGATTATGAAATTGACACACAGTCACTGGGGAAGCGCCTCACGGCTGGTGGAGGGCACCCGGAAGCACAGTCGCAGGCTGCCAGACCGTGCTCAGGCGCAGTGGGGCGTGTGGCAGGTTCGCCTCTGTGAGGTGAGCAGTGCGCATCCATGGGCGGGTCTCCGCAGGTGCCTGCGTGCAAAAGGATTGCGGCCCCTGGCAGATGGGAGCAGGAGGGCAGAGGAGCCAGCTGCCCAGCACCTTTCACCTGGCTCTGTGGGGTGTTCCAAGTGTGCCTAAGAAACCGCTCAGGTATGAAGTATCAACAAATGAACTGATTAATGAAAAGCTAAGAATAATCCATACAAACATTGATGGAATTCCAGAATGACCCATCAAAATAAGAACCAAGAAGAAATGAAGCAGTTCTAGATAATAATTTTTTTAAAAACCACAATAATGGGGCCAGAGCTGAGGCATAGTGGGTAAAGCCATCGCCTGCTGTGTCAGCATCCCATATGGGGGCTGTTCTACTTCTGATCCAGTTCTCTGCTAATGCGCCTGGGAATGCAATGGAAGACGGTCCAAATCCTTGGGCCCCTGCATTCATGTGGGAGACCTGGAAGAAGCTCCAGGCTCTTGGCTTCAAATTGGCCCAGCTCCAGCCGTTGCAGCCATTTGGGGGAGTGAACCGGTAGATGGAAGATCTCTCTTGTTCTCTCTCCTCTCTCTGCCTCTGCCTTGCTGTAACTCTGCCTTTCAAATAAATCTAAAAAATCTAAAATAAATCCCCACACACAACAATGAACTTTTGTGATGAGAGTTAAAAAACAAATTAGTGAATATTAACTGGGAGAAGACCAGGTTTCTGTCTCTTCCTATGCTGACCTCACTTTTTCCAACCATTTCTTTTTTTTAAAGATTTATTTAAATTTGTTTATTTAAATCTTTATTTATTTTTCTTTTTTGTCTTTTTTTATTTGACAGGTAGAGTCATAGACAGTGAGAGATAGAGAGACAGAGAGAAAAGTCTTCTTCCATTGGTTCACCCCCCCTAAATGGCCGCTACAGCCAGAGCTATGCAGATCTGAAGCCAGGAGCCAGGTGTTTCCTCCTGGTCTCCCATGCGGGTGCAGAACCCAAGCACTTGGGCCATCCTCTACTGCCCTCCCGGGCCACAGCAAAGAGATGGACTGGAAGAGGAGCAACCGGGACTAGAACCTGGCACCCATATGGGATGCTGGAGCCTTAGGCGGAGGGTTAACCAAGTGAGCCACGGCGCCGGCCTCTGAATCTTTATTTATTTGAAAGAGTTGCAGAGAGAGCGAGAGATATCTTTCATCTGCTGTCAAGGAAATAATAAACAGGATGAAAAGACAGCTATTGAATGTGAGAAAATATTCTTCAAACTACACATCTGATAAGGGATTAATATTCAACATATATAAAGAACCCAACTCAATAGTAAGAGAAAAAAATACTGAATTAAAAAGGGGCAATGGATTTGAATAGGCACTTCTCCAAATAGGACATGTGAATGTTAAACAGATTATCTGAAAAAATGCTCAAAATTATCAGAGAAATACAAATTAAAACCACAATGAGATAATTATCTCACACTTGTAAAAGTCAAAAAATAACAAGTGTTGGAGAGGATACAGAGAAAAGGTAATTCTTGAACACTGTTGGTGGGAATGTAAATTAGTACAGTCATTTTGGAAAATAGTTTGGAGGTTTTTCAAAAATTAAATAGAACTACTATATGACTTAGTAATCCAACTACTGAAAACAATTCAGAGGAAATGAAATCAGTGTGTTGAAGAGATATCTGTGTTCTCATGTTCTTTGTGGTATTACAATAGCCAAGATATGGATCTTCCTAAGTGTCTATCAACAGATGAACAAAGAAAATGATGCACACACACACACACACACACAGCTGGATACTAATCAGCCTTAAAAAGGAAGGGAAACCTGTAATTTGCAACGGCATGGATGAACCTGGAGAACATTATGTTAAGTGAATTCAGGCACAGAAAGACAAATACTGCATGATCTCACTTAATTGTGAAATCTAAAAAAGTTGAACTCATAGAAGTGGAAAGTAAGAATAGGAGTGGAAGTTTGAGAAATGATAGTCAAAGGATACAAAAATTTCAGTTAAGAGGAATACATTCAAGAGGTATATTGTACAACACAGTGACTATAGTTAATAATGATGTTTTATATTCTTGAAAATGGCTGAGTAGATTTTAAGTGTTCTGTCATCACAATAAATTATGTTTGATGCAATGCATGTCAGCTAGATCTCACCATTCCTCAGTTTATACATATTTCAAAATAATATGATGTTTATAGTAAACTTATATAAATTTTGTCAATTTAAAAAATTGACATACTATATCCATGAAGTAAAGAAAATCCTAAAAAAAGAAGCAATATAACGAAAGAGATTTTTAAGACATAGCAAAATAAAAATTCAACAGGTTACATATAGTTGAGGACATCTTTCTGGGATTATGACAGAAAGAGATGGATAATAAATAAGAGGGAGCAATAAAATTATGCAAATTAAAAGACCAGTTATGGAAATCCTATAACTAAGTCCAAAAGGAAAACAGAAAATCCAGGGAGGAAATCACCAAAGAAATTGCTCAAGAATGGCTTTCATTTTTTTTTATTTCATCATTTTTAAATAAAGTGTCTCCATGTTGAAAGGGACTACCCAGTTTCCACAATAATGACCATAAGTGAATTTATGTGGATGATAATATTTCTTCGGATACAGCTTTCTCTGCAGTTACGAAGGCCAAAAGAGCAGTAGCTGAAACAAAATGAAAGTTGGTCTCTCATATATCATCTATCTCATATATTGTGTTGCTTACGTTCAAACACAAGGACCACATTACTTCATGATGTTGAAAACCCAAGCTCCTTTTATCTTGTGCTGTTATGCTTAAGATTGTGGCTTCATGCGGTAGGCTTTGTGGTGTAGGGCCAAGCTGTCTCTTGGGATGCCTGAGCCCACATTGGAATGTCTTGGGTAGGGCTTCACCTCTGCTTCTAATCCTGTTTCCTGCTGATACACTTGTGAGCAGCAGTTGATGGTCCACCTACCTGGGTCCCTGCCACCCACATAACAGGCTTGAATGGAGTTCTGGACTCCTGGCTTTGGCCTTGCCTGGTACTGGCTGTTGTGGGCCTTTGGAGCATGAGCCAGCAGATAGAAGATCTCCCTTTCTCTTTTGCTCTCTCTCTCAAACAAACGAGCAAATAAATAAGACTGAAAAACAATGTGGCTTTCTCTCTGTTTTTAAGATGGCTGCTTTGTTGGCTGGCACAGCCGCTCAATAGGCTAATCCTCTGCCTGCAGTGCCGGCACACTGGATTCTAGTCCCGGTTGGGGCGCTGGATTCTGTCCTGGTTGCCCCTCTTCTAGGCCAGCTCTCTGCTGTGGCCCAGGAGTGCAGTGAAGGATGGCCCAAGTGCTTGGGCCCTGTATCCCATGGGAGACCAGGAGAAGCACCTGGCTCCTGCCTTCGGATCAGTGCGGTGCGCCGGCCACAGCACACCGGCCACGGCGGCCATTGGAGGGTGAACCAACGGCAAAGGAAGACCTTTCTCTCTGTCTCTCTCTCTCACTGTCCACTCTGCCTGTCAAAAAAAAAAAAAAAAAAAAAAAAAAAAATGGCTGCGCTGCTTCCTTCTGTCACACCTAAATTGTAGCCAATAGGAATGGGAAGAAGAAGCAGTGAGGCCATTGCCCTTTCTTTGGGGGACCTATCTCAGAAGCTTTACATACTTTCTGCTCACATCCAGTAGGCCCAAAGCTGGTCACTTGCTCAACTCAGCCATATGAAACTGAGAACTGTAGTCTTTCACTTGGACTGCCCTGTGCCGAATTGAACCCTGGAGTCTGCTGAAGTTCTAGCCTGGAGACTTCTCAGGCAGAGCTCCAAGCGGGAATCGCAGCCAGATCACAAAAGGTCTCTCCAGGTTTAAGCAGATGGGGAATGTGCTGAGTTCCCAGCGTGAAGGGCTGAGCTCTCTTCGTGGCACATTTCCTCACAGAGAGACACGCTCCAGGTTGAGTCTGAGAGAATTCTGTGTGTGTGTGTGTGTGTGTGCATGCGTGTGCAGATTCTGGACCATAGATACTTGTTAATGAATGAGGAGTAGAAAAAAGAGACTGAAGAGAAGGATCTAGAAAGATACACTAAGAATGTGAGAAAATAGATGACTTTGGTGGGGCAGCACATCCCTTAATGATATCTTATGATTTTACATTAAGGACATTTTATGATATTGTATTTTCACATCAGGCATAAAGAGCCATATTATTGTTTGGTGTTTGGCTCAGGAACTGACAAAATTAAATGAAAACCATCTTAGACTCAAGTCCTCATAAGATAATTTCCCATTCCTTTTGCATATACACTGATTAGTTGAGAAAATGTTTCTACTTGAATGTAGATTAGTGGTTTGTGAAAAATAACGTAAATTACCCTCCACAAGACTTAAAGAAGACAGTATTACAAGATGGAAAGAAAAATTTTGTTCCAGGTATGAAACATAGGCCATAAAAAGCTGGGAAATAAGCCAGAAAAATATTGGCCTGAGTATTGAAAAAAACTAGGATTCTTCTGAAAGATTAAAGACCAATAGGCAGTGTTAGGACTGTTGATTGAAGCACAAATTTTAACAATGAGAGGTTGTGAAGAATAGAATTTCACACAATAACTCATAGCATGGGCTATGATCCTAATCATATATGCCAGAATATAAAGAGAAAAAATGTTATTACAGCATTTTCTCTAAGTGGAGACTAAGGAATCCTGAGGATTTTATGAGAAGTCTACTTTAGAGAGATTTTTATTTCTGTGGACCAAAGAGCTCCCACCTCAAACCCCGTTGAGATTTGCTAATCAGTAGATGTTAAGCCTTCAATATATTTTGACAATAGACTGTAATAATAATTATTATATTGTATGTACTTGTAGCGGCCTCATCTAAGATCTGCGGAAAGTGGGGAGGGAAGTAATCATTTTGTGTACTTTATTAACTCATTCATTATATGAAGTGACATTGGTTATATCAAGATTGCATAATTGTCTGTTTTAAACTATGGATTTTTTCATAAAACAGCATGAGTGTATCATGCCAAAGTAATATGAGTGTGAAAGCATATCCATCACAGAATAATAAAAGAAGGATAAGATCATTCTACAAAATGAGACACAGATTGTATTTGCTCAACTGGCTGCCAGTTGGTTGTCTGATAAAAGAGCTAATATGTAAAAGTCAGGTTACAG